AGACTCTCACAATGAACAACAATGAACAGAAATGAACTGTGTGTTTCTGATGGAGCTGGTTTGGTCAACCTGTGTGCGCAAACACACACACACACACAGGGTCTACTCACAGAACACACACACACACACACACTGGGTCTACTCACACGCATACCGACACACACTGCGCTGCAGCAGCATCTCTCTCTCTCTCTTTCTCTCTCTCTCTATCCCTCTCTCTCCCTTCCTCCTCCCCTCTCCTCCTCTCTCTCACGGTCACACTCACGGAGCAGCACCGGGCAGAGCGGACACACAGCAGACACGCAGCAGCAGCAGCTTTGACCGGAGGAGCTCATGTCTCTCTGAGGAGGACAACCGTTGGCTGAGTCCGTCTGAGATCCATACGACGACCGGGACAAGCAGAGGAGAAAAGACAGAACCGATAGAACCAGAAGAACCAGAAGAACCAGAAGAAGACCCCGGGACGCCGAAGTACCTGCACCCGGGAGACGAGAGCTCGGAGGCGGCTGATCGGTGTCCTCTCACCGCTGAGATCATCAGCTCTCACACTCATCCAGTTAATTCCATTGATCCCAGTCTCTCATTGATTGTCTTTTTGATGAGGACAGAGAGCGCGCGCAACCAGGAGACACCGGGACAATGATCCGGACCCTGATCCGCACAGAGGTGATCTGTGCCGGATAGAACCCATCACTGACACCGACAGAAAAGAACAAAACAGTAAATAAATCACGTCTACTTTCCCTTGCTCCATTGATCCTCTTCAGTTATTGATCCGCTGATTGATTGGCGTCTGTTGGTTTTGCGCACGAACTGCACCGCGGGACCATGAACCGGACTGCGCTGCTCAGAGTGACCTGAGAGCAGAAAAAAGGAACAAAAACCAAATAAAAGAAGCCTGTTTTCTTTGTATCTGTTTCAAAGTCAATACCAGCATCGATCCCAGTGATCAGTGACTGATCGGAGGAGAAGGAACAGTCGGAGCAGCCGCGCACTAAAGACGCACCGGAGCGCGGACCATGATCAGGATCTTCCCGGATTTCAGCGTCCAGGTGACGGCGGCGGCGTCCGGAGGGGCCGGGGCTGGAGCTGGAGGAGGCGGAGGAGGAGCAGGCGGAGGCGGGGGAATGCTGACAGGACCCCCGGTGGGTCGAGTCCCGGTGCCGGTCCCCGGAGCCACGAACGGGAGCCCGCAGAGTGTAGCGGGACTCGGCGCTTATCAGCAAAGGTACGAGGAACGACCTGTAGCTCCGAGAGTGATAGAGTGATAGTGAACACAGAAAAGAAAGTCAAAGTTTAAAGCTGTAGTTTATATTTTTAAGTCAATATTTAATCACTGATAGTTTGTTTTATTTGATTTTCTTCTCGGATCCTCTTCTAAGATCTTTTGGATTCTTTTTTCATTGGTTTTCTCTGTCGTGACACAGTTGGACGTCTCTGACTCACTGAGAATCTGTGGAATTCAATAAATATGATTTCATTTTTAATTCTAAAACGATTCTTAGAGCTCACATCAACTCACACCAAACCTCTTCAGACCTTAGACAACGTTAAATCGTCTCCTCTTCTTCACTTCTTCGTCTTCATCTAACCCTGGACAGGCAGTGTGTGATTATTGCCAAACGTTGCTGAGACGTTGCATAAAACGTTGATTTCTATTTGAGGCAGATTCGTTTTTAGAGTGAAGAACTGTTGCCTCTTTTGAGTTGTGTTTTAGATCAATATATTTGCTGACATTTTCAGGCACTGAGCAGAAAAAGTTGTCTTTTAGATCAATATATTTGCTTATATATTTTATTTTCAGGCACTGAGCAGAAAATCTGTGTGTGAAAATGAAGAAAGTGAGATTTGGATGAATGAAGATGTTTGTTTTAGAGGAAGAAGAAAAAAGGGGCCTCCGAGTGGTTTTTAGGAGGCTGCCAGTCCTGGGTATGAACCTGTTCTCTGTGTCCACCGACTTCCTCCTCCGTCCTCTCTGAGACGGAGTGATGAACACCCTCCTGTCCACAGCTCAGTGCTGTTGTTTTTTCTAATCATCTGGAGCGGTCGGGGGGCTACAACACACACACTTTGAAGGGGGGAAACTCTGCATGTTGGGGCAGTAGTGTGTTTGTGTGTGTGTGTGTTTTTGAGAGCGAGCGAGAGAGTGTGTAGTTTCGAAGCTGCAGGGAGCAAACAGGACGTAAATCAGATCCAGGGGGCCTCATTCTGAGGGTCCGGGGGCCTCTACAGCAACAAATACGAGAGCGAATAGGAAGAGCGTATTGTTATTTAAAGCAGCTCACACACACTCACACACACTAGTGCCATAAGAGTTTATTCCTGTCCTTAGACCCTGCATTAACTCCAACCTGACACAAACCACATCAGTGTCCACATCAGTGTCCAATCTTAATCTAATTCTTCATCCATCGTTTAACCCTGACCCCAGAAATGACGTTCCACCTCCACAGAACCCTGGTTTACACCAGTTGTCCTTCAAAACTATGAAAGTGAAACATTTCAGTGAAATTAGTGGACATAAAATCAGGAGTTAGGACGGACTATGTGACGTCTGAATAACTCCAAGCCTGACGCGACCCGTAGAACCAGCACCAATAACTGAGGGTTAAATGACACCCACAGATGTTAGTACCTCATCATATTTACATTTCTGCTCCCCAAAGGAACTGGAGACATTTTAAAGATGCATCGGTGTTAGAGATGACCAATCATCAACTGTCTAATCCAGTCAGGATTATCGTCACCTCCACATGTAGCAGCCCAAATATTTTACAGCCTACTTCCGTTCCTCAGCGGTGGATCGAGCAGCTCTGTACGTGCCGCTGTGATCCAACCCCATTTAACCAGGCTTATGAATAGAACCAGGTGGAAACGGACTGAAAGGTTGGGTGTCTCCCTCTGTAACTTTGGGCCGCATCCCAAACCTTTTCAGTTGGAATATGAACCCGTTTGTCCACTGACCTGTTGTCACTGTTGCTTCAGGCGATTGCTGATAAAAATCTATCTTTGAATCTCTTATTTTTGAGAATTTAAGTAGAACACTGTAAAAAGTGCGGGATCATTTATCTTGTTTTTGAGTCCAGAGCCAGTCAGGTACATCACAGTGCCTCAATGACATTTTGGGAAAAGGCCAAAGCTGTCCGGCTTTGTAAAGGTGAAGTTCAACAAGCTGCAGAGTCTGCTCTGGTCCTTTGTGGACCAAACAGGACTTTCATCCAGGATCAGGAGTCGGCTCTCCTCATCTTTCTTGCCACGTCTTTCTCCTTCTCCTCCTCCACATGTCATGTTTCCCCTAGCAAACAGCTGGGAGCTAATATGTTTATACATTACGCTCCATTATCCACGTCGCCTCCGTTTGACTGCTCACAGTAAGCAGAGCTGCAGCGCAGAGACAGCAGCAGCCGAGGGAAGGGTTCCCTGACGCTGGACCAGGTGAACAAAACCTGGTGTTTAAATGAAACAGAATAACGACATGGTTTTCTGATGGTTTTTAAACTGCGTCAGTGCAGGTCCAGGTCTGTAGGTCGATCCTGCTGCAGCCGTCCAGGAGTTTTCACCTTAGATTTCTCCGGTTTATTTTTGTTAATTGTAAATAGACTTGCACTGATTTTTAAAAAGTCTTTTTTTTTTTTATCAGACGTACGTCTTCTGTAAATGACTGCGTCTGACGCTGAACACGACCGCCCGGTTTTTCAGTTGACTCCATGGTTT